TGAGTACGCCCAGCGTACTCAAAGGGGTGCAACTTGTCTGACCAATACTCGAGTGCCACCAGTCGACGCACGCAGTGACGTCAAAGTACACCCCGCGTAACCCGAGTATGCCCAGCGTACTAAGTACGCCCCGCGTAATTTGAGATTACGCCCCGCGTAATCCCAGACCCTCAGCCTATAAATAGAACTCGAAATCAGCCATTTTCTCTTGTTCAAACTCTTTTCTCTCTCTAGTTTTTTCCTCGTTTTGCGTGCCGTTTGTACCCCGAAGCCCCGATAATATTCCTGAGCCCCGAAGTAAGATCCGAAGCCCCGAGGATCCCGAAGAGCGTTATTCCCGAGCCGAAGCTTGCCCGCGAGGAGCCGGTTTTTGTGAAGATCTTCCAGATCTACGGAGAAACACCTCTTCTGCAAGCCATAGTGCTACCCGATCATCTTCTAATCAGGTGAGTGTGTAGTTATTTTCATTCCAACGCAATACTATGAAGTATTTTATATAAAACACGTGTTATGTGTATATATTTTGTTGGTATACGTGTGAGTGTATATTCACTCTCTTCTATCTTATAGATCTGATGTATTCTCTATGAAATACGTGTTATGTGTGTATGCCTCATCTGTTATGTGGAATATGTATTGATTAAAGCATGCTATACAGGTTTTTAAACAATGTATAAAAATGTATATTTTTATCTACTAATATGTTGGGTAGAACATGGGTAGGTAATTGGTGTGTAATAAACAGATGAGAGGTCTCGGTGTTATTGGTGTTATTCTAGTCATTCAGCAGAGTATGGATGACGACCACGGACTATTCTAGACTGTCCTGTGGAACACTAGTAGGCTCCTTACCTGTAGGTGTTGTGAACGACGTGTTCACCGATGTACTCTATCCCCCACATGGTTGCCTTTAGGATACTTATTGTTGAGGAAGCCCCTCTACAGTAATGTCCGTCCCGATGAAAATCCTAAATTAGGTTCCTTATAATAGATGTTATTTTTAGGGACGTAAAGTGAGGATAACGGGAATGGGTAATCGGGTTTATTGTTGATTGTTGAATTAAATATAATTATTTATTGTGGATTGAAAACCCTACATGCTCACCAGGCTCCCAAGCCTGACCCACTCAGTTTATTTGTGTTACAGGAAAGTGGTGCAAGAGCTTAAGATGGACGAATCATCAAGTTGTTTTGTTTACAAGTCTGTATATGTATATATTTGTTGAATAACTTGTAATGCTATCGTTTATGCTTTATGATCTGTATCGGAACATGACATCCCGACTTTTGATTATGAAATGAAATCATATTTCTTTACGAAATGTTTTGATAAATATCTATTTCATCATGTTTTGTTTTTGGGAACAAATTCCGCATCTCTTTTAAAATTAAAAGGATTTACTCTGAAAATGTTTAAAAAGCATAAATGAAACTGGTCTTTTCTGGCCGAGATTTTGGGGATGTCACAGTTGACTTAAAGTTTCCTCACTTTGACTTTTGATGAACATATCATTAGAATCCAATGGTGCAATACTTTGATTTAAATCCTTAATTTGGCTATTGTAATCCAAGGAGCTTGAGATTACCTAGACTTTTCTTAATTGTTGAAATGGCTAGAGAAGTTCATAACAATTTCCTTAGTCAAAGTCACTAATTCCAAATAGCATGTAATTAGTGAAAGTCAACTAGCATTAAGAACCAAAAAGTCACCAAATCTAAGAGGAATCATGTAACATCCGAAAAACACAACCAATTTAAAATTTTCAAACAACCCGATTTTCACTAAAATGTTTACAAAAAGGTTTCCAATACAAGTCATTAAGTATTCCCAGAATCACATTGCTACAAAATCATGAGGAGTGGTACGATCGCGCCTTCGCCTTGCCACAGTCTCCTGAAGAACCTGAAAAACATTAAACCACAACTGTAAGCCCGAAAGCTTAGTGAGATACCCCCAAAATACCAACCACGTATACGCCCTTCCAGGCTACGACCTTCCGGTCCAAAACATATAAAACATACATAACATAACAGAACATAGAACAGCCATGCATATCGGGTCTACCGTGTGACTGGTCCGCCGTATCGGGCCTTCAGTCCAACGGATCCATCCTCCGGGTCTAGTCATGTCCTTCGAGTCTACAGTGGGGTTGGTCCGCCCGCATCGGGCCTTCAACCCACCTGGTCCACTCTCTGAGTCTACAGTGTGACTGGTCCGCCCGCATCGGGCCTTCAGTCGGCCTGGTCCACTCTCCGAGCCTCGGCACATCTGGTCCGCCCTCGTGGGGCCTACAGCCTATCCGGACCGCTCGCTGGGCCTTCGGAACAACCGGTCCGCCCTGGGTATCTTGCCCTACAGCACAAAGCAGGACCCGCCTCAACCCATCTCCAGTCCAAACAACCATGTGCACAAAACATACATTCATATAACAGTCATAGTCAACAAACCGAGCAAGCAGATCACATAGCATATCATTACCCTAACCGGGTTACCGACCTAACCGGTCACTAGCATAGCATCACTCTGTATATCGGGATTAACTGACCTTAGCAAGGCCTCCTAGCATGCACCATCCTAGCTACCAGGATGCAGACACATCAAACAATAACATTATAACCATAATCGAATCTCAATACAATAAAGGGCCGGCCTTGGTGCCTTAGACCATGTTGATATAGTGAGGATAACTCACCTCGAAACTACCGGCTGAAAAGATAAGATCCCGCTGCTCCGAACTCTGACACGAACTCCTCCACTACACATCAAAACATACAACTCAATAAATACCCTTAATTACTAAAATACCCCTGGAAGACAACTGGTCAACCTTGGACGAGTCAAAGTCAACCCCTGACTGACCCTACTCGCCGAGTCATCCCGATGACTCGCCGAGTCCTTATGCTCAGAACTTCCCTCAATTAGCGACCCAACTCGCCGAGTCACCCCAAGACTCGTCGAGTCCAACAACTCTGAGTCCACTCGCACCCAACTCACCGAGTCATCCCTTGACTCACCGATTCATCGACTCAACCAGAAATATTGGGACTTCCTCGACAAGACTCGCCGAGTCCAAATGGACTCGTCGAGTCCAAGGCCATCTTCAACCTACTCGCCGAGTTGTTCTTCCAACTCGTCGAGTCCAGGCCATCTTCAAGCAACTCGTCGAGTCCACCCATGTGACTCGTCGAGTACCACCGGTCTGAATCCATACAGAAGCATCTCAGGCCATGCAATTGATCCAAAACATAGATCCAACCTCCTACAATCCATCCATCACGTAAAGTGGCAAACTTTACGTGAATCTAACGAGATCTAAGCCATATTCACCTTAAAACCAAGGTTTGGGACATGGTGGCTTCACTAAGCACTCAAACACAGGAACTTTAATGCACTCTAGGCCTTCAATATTCCAGATCTGAGGTAGCAACCTCAGATCTATCCTCCAAACTCCAAAACATTCCAAGACATACTCCCCACAAACCCCAAAATGATGAAACTAGGAATGCACAGCCTAAGGACGAAGATATTACCTCCAAAAGATGCCTCAATAGCAGCCAAACTCGAATCCAAGCAAAGCCCTTTGATCCAAGCCACTTCTCCTTCAAGATCTCTTCAAACAACACCTCTCCAAGCTCTAATTTGCTCCACAAATGATCTCTCCACGAATTTAGGGTTTCTGGAACTCAAGGGGGGAATAAGGGAGGCTGTGGAGGGGTATAATGCTCTTTATATAGGGCTCAACCCCGAAAATTAGGGTTTTCTCCATACAGCACCTACTCGCCGAGTCCATCCTTGGGACTCGCCGAGTAGGCCACTTGACACGCGACCATGACCACGACCTGACTCGTCGAGTCCATCCATGGACTCGCCGAGTCATCCTCTAAAACTTACACTTTTAGCCCTTCAACTCTACTCTTGCGATTCCGGGATGTTACAAATCAATTGCTTTCACTACCATGTTGGAGGAAATGTTTTTATGATTGTGTGAAGCAAAAACAACACAAAAATCACTTGTTGCTTGCTAATTTGAGGATCCTTTACTTAATCAAGAAATTAGCCAACTAATCACCACAAACACATTTAAACTCATGAATAAAAACATACTAGTAGTGATAATATGATAAAACACAAAACATTTCCATAATTATTTAAGAACAAGTTCATGGATTCTTCAACACCCAACAAAAGTTCAAAGGATTCAACAAAAAGTCAACCAAGATTAGTTTAGCCAAGCATGACTAAACTCAAAGAAACAAAGTTAGTTAAGATTGTACCTAACATTTGACAAGAATCAAGAGATGAAAAGAAGATATTCTTTAAGTGTTCTTGGCCTCCAAAAGTGCTCCAAACTCCAGGGAGAAAGTATCAAAATCGGACCACCAAGATAAGACTGAAGAGGCACACCAACCTTCCCAATATAGATCTCTAAGTAAAATCCCGAAATTACCCTTGTCAGGAATCCACGCGGGCCGCGGGGAATCTTACGCGGGCCGTGTGAATTCGAAGGAATTTTTGGGCTCCTTCAAGTCTTGCGCCCCCACAGCTAATCCATTGGCCCAGTTCGAATCCAATCAGCTCCTAGCCCATTTTTCTTCAATATTTCTTCAATTAAAGCCCAATTTGTCTTTCCACATTACTCAAAACTTCCGCAAACTCCTAAACATCGATCTTGTACACTCAAGAATTCTCCCGCGCCCTTTCAATTTTAAAGTTCAACACTTCTGCGCCTTCAAACAATCGACAAGCTTACTCCCTGAATCACCTCCAAAGCTATCAAGCACGAAATTCCCACTGCTCTTCAAGTCCAATCGCCTTCCAAAAGATCCTGCACACTCCTACTCCTCTAGTTTCCTTAAAATCTGCAATAATGCTGAAGAAACTAGAAAGTACCCAAAATGGTCATAAAAATAACAAAAGGGAAAATATGCATGGAAATTAACTAAAATGCGAATGAAATTTGCTAAAATAAACTATAAAAATAAGTAAATAAAACAAACTATCAAAATTCTCTCTCAACTGTTTCAAACTCCATATCTGTATCATTACTAACATCTTCATTCTCGTCATCTTCTCTTCTGATGAAATTCCCCATCCTAAGAGCATCCGCATTCACCTCAGAATCCTCAATCTTTTCCAGCTTATCTCCAGTAACATGTATTATGAAAGGAGTCCTTTTTTTCAATTTAATGTTTTTACTTGTGCGGGCATTAAACACATAAACAAGTTGTATACATATTACTAATTTGTTAGAAAATATAATAATATAGCAATTATAGAATAACTAGGCGAATGCCCGCGCGTTGCGCAGAAGCATCTATATAGCTGAAATCTTTACAAATATATGTTTTGAATTGTATGATAATATATACATCTATTAAGACTGCATAATCTCAATCTTTTGAATGACCTCTATCTGCGGATTATTCATGAATAAAAATAAATATAATATATGGTTTAATATTATTTATAGTTGTTATTATTTTTAATTCATTTATAAAATTTATTTGCTTAACGTTTTAATTTCCATTACTGTAATCATTTAAAACATCAAACAATTTTTTCTTTTATTTTAAAGGTAACAATATAATCATTTATTAAGAGTTATTTTTAACTATTGTTATTGTCAATTATTTTAAGCTACTTATTTCAAAACTTTTAACGATTATAAAAATATCTTTAGGAAATATTTTAGTGAATTGATATTACAATTTAATTTTTGCATTTAGCACTACAATTTATCACTTTTCACTATTCATAAAATATTATTTGGGTTTTTTAAGTGGAACTGAAATTTATATTGAAGTTGACCCTGTAATGTTATATTTAAACTAATAATTTAAGTATTTTGCCCATACAGTTTAAAAGTTGTAGCTTTAAACTGATAATGGTTTACATACAACAACATATTAAATCAAATAAATTAAGTATAATATGTTAAAAGTTGAAGACATAATTTTATAAGTAGAAGTAAAAATATTATTTTAATATTGAAATTTAGTTTAGTTTTTATTACACTTTAGGTTTGATATTTATTTAACCTTATTAACGAATTTATAATTATTTTTAGAAAGACACTACAATTTATCACTTTTAACTATTTACAAAATATACTTTGTGTTGTTTAAGTTAAACTAAATTTTATATCAAAGTTGATCCTGTAAGGTTATATTTAAATTAACAATTTAAGTATTTTATACAAATTGATCAAAAGTTGTAGCTTTAAAGTGATAATGATTTATATACAACATATTAGACCTAATAAATAAAGTATAATATGTTAAAAGTTAAAAAAAACTTTATAACTAGAAGGAAATATATTTTTTTAATATTAAAATTTATTTTATATATGATTACATTTTAGGTTTGATATTTATTTAACTTTATTAACCAACTTATAATAATAATTATTATTAGAAAGAAACTGAAAAGTCATGGGAGTTTCAAACGAATATGGTGAAAGGAAAAAATGTATGGAAGTTTCAAATGAATGTGGTTCAAGAAAAAATGCAAACTTTATAAGTATATAATGATACTCATTAGTATTTAAAATATATTTATGATAATCATACCAACAATACAGTAATAGGCCCTGAGTAATAGCAAAATCGTTCGTCCCAATTCCATAATTGCTTCCTTGTCATCAAGCTATCAACCGTATACTGACACCAATCGATAGTTGAATATTCTTCCAACAGAACTAACTTCTCAACTGATTTTATTTGACAAGTCCCTTTTTGATTTGACTCAATAAAGGTGTTGATAAACAGTATTATAAAATTAAGTCTAAACAGAATGTCATCCACTCTAGTTTCCTTTATTTTTTTTCAAATATGTTTTACTAGAAAACAATTTTTTTTGGATATTGAGCCATCCATTCTTTAAGTAGATGATTGTCCATACTTCAGGATGGTAGTTCCTTAATATTAACACTCTCTATAGTTATACCCATTATCTCATGTATCCTTTCTTTGGTTATCTCCAAGGCATCATTAGGCAACACAAGTCGGTTTATCAATGGATCATAATTATCAAGAAGATAGTAGTTCAAGTGCCTCGGTAAACTATCGATATCTATATCTAATAACGTACCTAAAACCATTTTTCTGAACTTGTTCTTTTTGTTCCCTTGTCAAAGTCCTAACAAGTAGGCTCATCTTTGTCAGTGACATTCTACTATTTAGTCTTCAAAGCCCTTATGGATGGCTTTTATCCATCTTCTTTTCACTTTGTTTTCCAATTTCTTTTGCCTTACCTTCTTCTAAAACATCTTATTCGAATTGCTACTTATTTTAATTGGCTTGTGCATCCCAGAACCATATTCCTTTTTACTCGTATTAGCCCTTGCTACTTTTTGATCTGATTTCACCAACATTGAAATTATCATCTTTTCTTTTAACTTTTCTACCCTTCTTTGTTGATTCTACTATGTGCTTCTTCTTCTTCTTCTTCTTCTTTTTTTCTGATTTTCATTCCTCCATTCACTCATACTTGCTTCATGTTCTACAATGACTTCTACCATTGGTAACTCTTCATGAAACGCTGCTACAGCTTCCCGAGCATGTTCTATTAAACCATGACCTGTCAATGAAATCAACTTAAAAAATAAATTTTAACTTAACTAAATCAATACAGATCGTTCATAGTAATAAAAATAAACCACTTTACTCACATTATGTATTCTCATAGAATTAGATATACTATCCATTATCATTTATTTCACACCATTCCTGAAGAATATGTTCATTATGTATTTTACATTATTCTACAAGAATTCTTCACTACTTTTTTACTACCCTACGCCAATCCCAACCAAGCATGTACATTGATACATTATACAAAAATGTATTGCACTTCATATATGTCATGCACAACAACAAACCACTTATGCTAACCAACCATTGAATTCACAGTTAAACTAAAATCAATTTTTTTACTAAACAAACAGTCCTCTATCCTTAAATTATGTATGTACCCGTTACAATCAACATAGACTATAAAATTCAATTCTTGTAGCACTAGTTCATCTCAACAGCAAAGGAAATGCAATCACATTTTGATTCTTATAGCATTACATGTACAAGAACATATAAACAATAACACAACACTTAGTAATAAGCAACAACATCAGCAAACCCAAAAATCCAGTGTTCATTGTAAAAAACACACACACACACACACACACTTTTCCAGTAACTTACATCTTCAAACCCTAAATTGTTCCAAACATAAATTCATACCTAATTCTCCAAGAATCGCGACTCATTCTTAAATAATACATGAAATTAGGGGTGAGCATAATAACCGAAAAACCGAACCATAACCAAATTAACCGATATAACCGAACCGTTTAAAAAATTGTTGGTTCGGTTTCTATTTTTTGTAAACCAATAACAAACGGTTCGGTTATGGTTTTATAGGTTAACCGAACCATTATTAACCGAACCGCTAACTTTATATTTTAATACATAAAAATTATGGATTTTATATAAAATAATATAGTCAACTTATTTAAGACCCATTAAAATTTCAAAATATAATTCATTAACCCTCATTTATTAGGAGACGAACGTGCAATCAGACCATCAAAAGATGAGCACGCAGATTATGCAAACACACACAATTTTTCAGTCATGTATTGAGTTAGATTATTGATTAATGTTGTAATTCTTAATCGGCTAATTCTATAATTTATAAAAATTATTCACAATTCATTTAATCTTCAAACGGATAATCCTAATCAGAGACTTCTCACACCGTTAATCCTAATCAAATATTGTTTTGACTTTATAGTTCTATTCGAAGGATTTTTTTTTTAATTTATAATCAAAACTTCTAGGTAAGTTAAGTTTTTGGTTCTTCTTCACTTTGTGATATATTAAGAATGTATTTTTTTTTTTTAATTTTCTTTTTTTATTTACTGTTTTTAACTTAATCACATTGAATATATATGAGTGATTGGTTTTTTTATCCATATAACACGTAATATAAATGTTTAGCTATTTTATTTTATAGTTTTTTATTTAATCGTATTGAACATGTATGAATGTTTTGTTTTATTTTAATGTTAGTATCGATTATCAATATATGAAGTTATTAATGCCAATTTCTTTAATGTTTTATACTTTTTATTAAATGTTTTTGATTTTGAATGTGACTATGTGTTATCTCACTTTGAGTATCAAAGATACACATTTTATTATATTACTATAAGCTAAGTTACAAACATTGATGCCGAGGACTTTCTGTATTCTCTTTTCATTTTTTTATGCCACTTTACTTTTTGTCATTTATATTATTTTGAACAATATGGTTAACCAATATTAACCATTAACCGAAACCGTTAACCGACAAAAACCATTAACTATAACCAATATTAACCATACCCAATGGTTACCAAAATGCATTAACCAATCATAATGGTTATGGTTTGGTTTTGACCAATAACCGAACCAAATCGCCCCATACACACCCCTACATGGAACTACACTAGTATTATTAGAATTCGAGAAGAACAAGTCCCAATCTTGTTATTAACTAAATTACCATGTTCAATCTTAACATGTTCAAACCCAAACTGTTTTTGAACTAAACTTCATGAAAAAATTACCCTACTTCACGTTATCAAATTTACAGAATGAATAATTTTTTTACAAATAACACTTCCATTCTTGAAGCATATACCGCAAAACAAAATTTTAAACACTACCTTGGAAAGGTGGATCGACAAAATCATCGTCGTCGTCGATCTCAAGCGGTGCAGATGTGTTTGTGAACTTCGTTTTGAAGTTCTCTCCTAATCTTGAGCTTGATCGGCTTCTCATTGTTCGATTCTTCAGCTGGCGGTTGATTCTTTAATTTGAATGTAAACCTGTATCACTCCTCTTATATGTCTAGTCGTCTACTATATTTTTGGAATTGATGATTCAATATCTTTTATAGAGTGGATGATTGATTTGTTTTGAAGGAAATCGTATATTTATTTCTTAATATCATAAACATTCTTGCCTAATAATATCGGAAAACATTAAACTGTGGAACGAAATCGGGTTATACGAACATAACATTTCGAATTCCTAATTTAAAATCCTACAAAAATACTGAATTACCCTTATAACAATATTACTATCGATTTAATTTAAAATTTAAATTAAAAAAGTAAGGAAATCAGCATTAATTCTTAATTACATGATGTTTCTCATCCAATGGACAAGATTTAGTTTTATATTCACATTATATTTATCATTCACGTTTAATCCTAACCCTATATATATATATATATATATATATATATATATATATATATATATATATATATATATATATAGTTTGGCATTTAGAACTTGAAAAGTTTCCTACTAGAGTCATTTTTGATAGCCAAAATGTTGATGTGTCATCCATTTCGTGTTCCCTTTGTTATCTGGAGTTGGAGTCGGCTAGTCATTTGTTATTTGGGTGCCTATTGGCTTCTAACATCGTTACTCAAGTTAGTAGATGGTGGGTCGATAAGATCCATATGTTTTCTTCATATGTAGATGGATTTGAATGGTGTAATGCACTTCGGTGTTCCGGTGTCGTTATGGAGTTCATGGAAAAAATCTTTTACGTTTCTTGGTGGCATTTTTGGAACTTTATGAATGCTTGGCTACTTAGGGTTTCTAAATGGAGAGCTTTGGTGTTTTTTTTGAAAACATAGTTACACAGTAATTTTTATGTAGTAATTTTAGATCTAAAATAAACATTAATTGTACTAGGTGGCTTCAAAGTGCTTAAATTGCCATTATGTAATGTTTTCTTTTGTTCCAACTAGTTTTTTCTACTCCGAGTTTTATAAAATCATTGTCGTTTGAAAAAAGACAAATAAAAAAATTAAAAAAAAAAAAAAAAAAAAGACAAAAAAAAGTATAAAATTATATAGTAAATAAGTTTAGAGTTACTATGTTTTAAAAATATGTTATCTAACTACTATGTTTTAGTAAAACATTTGCCAAACTATTAATTTGAGGTTGCTGATTTTGCTAAATGACATGAAAATATTGATAAATATGTTCGGTTACAAGCACACAAAAATGGTTTTTAATGTAAAAACTGATCTGGTTGATAGTGTTTTATGTCCAATTTTAAAATTTTCGATTAAGGTAAAAACATTTGAAGAATTCAAATTGACTAGCTTAAAGTTTTGGAATTGAATTTGGGGGCTGTAATTTTTTATGAGAAAATCCTATGATTTTCATAAAATAATAAGTGGAAATAGGGAAATAGACTTATCAAGTAATTATCTTTTTGTTTTGTTCACATCTAGATAGCTTCGTTTTTTATACATATTTAGGTAATAAAATTATTGGAAATATTCATATGTGACCATTATGACCGGCTTTAGCAAGTTACAATCAGTCATAATGATCATATGTCAATATTTCCAACAAGTTCGTTACCTAGATTTGTACAAAAAACATTTACCTAAATGTGAATAAAACAAAAGATAATTACCATGATAATTTTTTTTATTTTACCTTTTTAATTTTGATTTGCTATAAAATTTAACCTAAATCGTAACATTTTTAAAACCATGCTATTTTGGTAAGTATCTTTTTTTTTCTAAATACACTACTTTTATATAAAAAAATAAAAAATAAAAAATAAAAACTCCATATTAGACAAGGAAAAAACACATCATCATTTTATAGAATTTTATTAAAATTTACTAAAAACTAAAAGTATCATAGAGAGACCAATAACGTGAAATTGCACATCATTTTTAATGAAGTTGGCTCTATTTTTTACGGGAATTTAAAATACAAAAAATAGAAGTAGATAAAAGCTACTTCAATGAAATTTAATATATGAGAAAATAGCAATGTTATCGATGTAGTTAAAAGTTATTTGTATTTTTAGTATCTTAAATTTCTGTAATACATGGAGCAAACTTGATTGAAGATGGTATTCTATTTCATGTTATTGGACTTCATCTCTCGTACCTTTAGTCTCTTGTAATTTTAATTTTTATATTTAATATCTTAAAGAATAAAATTTTAGAAAATGACGATGTGTTTTTTTTATCTCTGTCAAACCTGGAGTTTTTTTTAATTTTTTTTATCAAAGCAGTGTATTTTAAAAGATATTTACCAAAATGGTGTGGTTTCAAAAATATTAACTATTTAGATTAATTTTTAATCAAATCAAAATTAGAAGGTAAAATAAAAAAGAGCAAAATTAAATTATCAAGGTAATTACCTTTTTATTTTGTTCATATTTAGATAATTTTTTTGTGCACATCTATGTAACAAACTTGTTGAAAGTGTGCAGATATAACCATTATGTCTAATTATAACTTGATACAGTCACTCATAATAATCATATATGAACACATCTAACAAGTTTGTTATCTAAATATGAAAAAAAAAAAAAAAAAAAAAAAAAGGTAAAAAATAATTACTTTGACAACTCAATCTTCGAAGAAAATAAAGATAAAAATGATATGATATGAAATATGATAATTTCAACTAAAATTTCAAAATATATGATCCCAATAAAGAAATTTAAAACCATTTTAATATGATTTTTGTTCATCTGTACTTTGGGTTGAAATTGTTGGGTTATCATCCAAGTTAATTATTATTAATGACTTTGGACATTAGAAGAAAATTTTACAAGAGGTGATTTTAATTTTTTTTTCTGTGGAGAAAAAACATGTAAGGTTCTAGGAGATAGTGTTCTTGGTTGGGCTTATGTTTATTTTAAATGGACTCATGAGATGGGATATGGATGTGTATAGTTTGGATTTAGTTTTAATATTTTGTACGTTACATCAGGTTGTCATTTGGGGCTTGTCATATTTGAGTAGTATTTTTCTTTGTTTGTATGGCTCTTTTTTTTTTGGTCTTCGTTAAAGTCCTTCAGAGACCTAAAACATAGTAAAATAAAATTTGTAAAATAAAACGTAAAAAGGAGATTGTAAACTAATTAAAACAAGGTTTATAAATTTTTTTGGGGCAAGTTATATAGTAAATAAGTATAGATTACAATGTTTTGGAAAGTATGTTACTAGACCACTATGTCTTAGTAAAAAACTCTTGAAGATATTGCTGATTTTTACTAAGTGGTGTGAAGATATTGATATGTGTCGCGTTAGTGGTGAAAAAACGAAACAATTTTTTTTCAAAAAAAAAATGTAAATCGGATCCAATTTAGAATTTTTATTTCTAGCTAGTTATAAAATATCTAATCTAGATAATCCGATCCAATGGATTCAAATTAGATACCTAATGATCTTGGGACTGGATTTGGGGGTTGGATTCCTTTATTTGAAAAAAAAAATCTATTATTTTTATCAAATATCCAAAAACATATGAATAAATACAATTTGATATGAAATCCGATATCTTTCTACCTAAAATCCTATAAAATTTGATCCGAATAAAAAATCTATTTAATCTAATTTTTGTTCACCGTTATGTTTGTTGACATTATTGAGTTATTATTGGTAACCAAGTTAATTAATAATAATAGACTGTGGACATGTAATTTTTGGATATGGAGATTACATGGAACATTCTAAAAGATAAATTTTTTTATTGAGCTTATGTTTGTTTCGACGAGTCTTGGGATTGGATATGATTGTGATGGATTTGTAATAGGCCACTCTTTTTATCCGTATACACCAAGTTGTGTCACTTCACATGTTACATAAACAAATGATGTTATAACACCAAGTGGAGAAATAAGTAATAAGATGCAATATCAACTTTTTGAGAATAAATATATTTTATTTTTTATTTTATTTTTTTCGAATTTGGTTTTTTTTTTTAGTTATTCGTTTTTTTTCCTTTTTCCTTTTTTTTTTTTTTTTTCTTTTTTACGTTTTTTAATCACTAACATGAATATATTTTTATAAAACATAAAATTTTAAAAACAAAAAAAAAAGACAATATTTAAAATCTAAAATTACGATTACAATTAAAAAAACATAATTTTAAACGTTAAATCATAACTAAAATACCATTCAAATTACTCCTAAAATCATAATTAACTCAAATACTTTTTCCTAATTTGATCATTTATGGCTTGTAGCACCACTAGATCTTGAGGCGTCAAACCTTCCTCGCTAGTCCGAAGAATTGACAAATGTTATGTTATTAGTTCTCTATATTTTTGTTCCTGCTTCTCCCATGCCTAACTTTCTAGGAACTTTAAATGACAACGTTTCAAGTCATTTTTTTTCTTTTATTAATAAATTGTGTTCGTCGAAGTTCGCTCTCATTTCTGCCGCCTCTTTTGCTTTCGCATCCACCTCCTCCACATGTCTAGCAGCGCTCCTCGCTTTATCGTGTCCGGGCGATCGTCTTGGTGGGGACATCTCTTGGATATCCGAGATCTCATCGTCGGCGGCGTTTAGGTCAATGTTAGTCCGTGTGTCCGACATGTCGACCGAGCTCAAATTGCGAGACCTTTTGGATTGAATCTCTGGCGATGTAGGCGTTTTATTTCACTTTGGATCCGCTCGCAACAACTCCCATCATTTCAAACTCGAAAACATGTCTCATTTCGACCTGATATTGTTCTTTTGTAGATTTGAACAAATCGAAGTCATTGGTTTTGGTTTGTTGTTGCACCTCAAGACGATTGTAAATACCGTTGAATTTTCTGCACCGCTTGGTTATTTGGCTCCATTTGCTGTTCAACATGTCATTGTTGCGATACAAATTTTTCTTCAAAATAGAATGAAACTTGTCGCGCACCGCCCCCCAATAAGCTCCTTTCTTCATTCCATTTCTGCGGAGTTCGTCTTTTGAAGTAGCACACCAAGCTGCCGTCAAAGCGTATT